TCATTGCAATCAGAATCACTTTTTTTTTTAGAAAAGTGGTGTTATTTTTGTAATGACTGAATGTATGTGTGTGTGTGGATTTATTACATTATCTATTTGTTTGAGATTAAAACAGACTTGGAAGTTAATCGGTTAAAACTATGACCTCTAGCACGTTTTTATTGTTTTGTGTTGAAATTTTAATGTAATTGCTTATTTCCATTTGGGTCTCATGCGTTGTTAATAATTTGAAAGGATGAAATGAGAATGTGCAAATAACATATTTAAAAATGTCTATTCAGCAGCTTAGGGAATTTAACTTTTGAATTTATAATGATACAATTACATAAGCTTTAGAGTAAATTGCCAAAGTTCAGTGTAGATAATGAGAACAATCTTCGCTCTTAAGTTTATGAAGTGAAGAAGACCATTAAAACTTGATTTAAAAAAAAAACCTGACTTCCCCAATAAAAGAGCAAAATTTTGTTACTGAATGCTCTCAGCTTCTGTGGCGCGACGCCTTTTATTGATCGACGTACTGATGTGTATGAAACAAAGTTGAGATTTTCTCAAACCTCACAAAGCTCAGTACGAAACACAAGGAAGTGCGAATTCATATGTTTAACGACTAATCCTGCTTTCATGATGAAGTAAACAGACGAACATTACTAAATTCTCTTTTGTTACCATCTTCTCTATAGTTCGAGAAGTTCTTTTTTTTGTTTTTTTTGTATACCACAACTTTATTTGAAATGTGAGTTACAGTTGAATAGCTTCCCAAACTGGTCACATGGAGAATTATAAAAAATCAATAATCATTTCATGTTTTTCTGGGCGAGATAATAATTAAATAATCTATTGTATTTCAGCCACTAAATTAAATGCTCTAAACTAAACACATCTTAATAATGTTTCTCCTTAGATGTCTCTTTAAGTGTTGCTGCTTCTCATTATTTCATATTTTCTTTTTTATCCAACACATCATTTCTTTCATCGAATAAACCTTATCAGCGTAATGTATTTCAAAGTATTTCACGTCTGAGGCCGGATTCTGCTTGTTTAGAAAATCCCACTCGGCTCTTTGTGATATAATACTCCACCCCGACTTTTATGACCACACCTACAAGTTGGTCACTATACGCAATGAAATATATTACGTATGACTAACCGGCGTAACATTACAAACTGCGTGAGGTGAGGATTCGCACATGCGTGAAACAGAAAAACGTTTGACGTTACTGGGTCGCAAGTTGTCGTCATAACAAGCAATAAATCTTTTGTAACATTTTTGACGTGAATAAATCTTCTTAGGAAGGAGTTTCGGACAGAATAGGATAACACAATTTAAAATCCTATTTGTTTTATTTAAACTATGAACAAAGTTTTCATAAAGAACTGGATTGCTTTTGTAATACGCACAATCTTTTAGATTAATGAGTATTTAAAGTTAAATGGAGCAAAACCCTTCGTATAGATGCCTTCATTTTTAATTTTAATACAATATCTTTAACGTTGTAATCTGAACCTTTTTTTATTATTTACCTCTTGGATTGGGGTTGTAAAAAATTTACCTGGGAAGTTAAGATCGAGTAATGTTTTTATTCCAAATATAAAACTAAACTAAAAATCTGTAAAGTTTCATTGTAACCCTTTTATTTGAGTGGGAATCTTACAACGGGTACCTAATGAACTTAAATAAACACATTTCCGTAGAAATTTCACATAACGCATCATAACCTATAACATAAATCAGATATTCTCACAGTTCTTCCATCGAGGGTTCATACCCTATTTGTAGTCCATTACTCATGCAAATACAGTAAGCCTCCGCCCTTTCTTTGGAAAAGAAGCTCTACCTCTTAGATCTTAAGTCCATTTCTCAAAAACGATAAACTGACCACAACTCTTCCGTAGAAACAGAGCCGTAGCTAGGGTAAGGCGGGAGGGGCAGTTGCTTAGGGCGTAGCCCGAATGCTAAGCCTGTTTTTCAATAATTTATTTAGAACTATACGGACTGGAGGGCAAATAGAAAACTTACCATTTGAACATATCATCCAAATTAAGTAATACAATTTGCTCTATTTATTATGGTATGGTACTTATGTTCCCGCCTTCACTCCTTATTCTTCAACTACGTCGTCTCGTTCTTAAGTTATAACATACATCATAATTATTTTAGTATTTCTCATTTAGCTACACGCTTCTTTCATCATATCTATATCAGTATATGTCTTTAGGAATTGGAAAAATAGGGCTCGAGAAATAGCATACCCAATGTTCCTGGACATCCTAAAATTCTGTTGGCTACCAAACATTACTGGAAGCATGCTCGACATGTTAATCGGGTTTTTACTGTATCTGTCATTGCTATAAAGTAAAGTAAAACTGAGATTTATTGCATTTAAATGCGGAACATTGATTTGTTTGGTAATTCATTTGTATTCTAGTAACTATCTTTAAAATATATTTATTAACCGTGTTACGTTATGAAAACACTTGATTTTGATGGAATAGCAACCATAAGTAACATATGTTCTGCAAGGATGCGTGCCGTGAAAAGGTTAGGCAGACCTAGAGTACAGTACACTATCTTCGCAAACCGACCAGCA